TACTGCGCGTACCCATTTCCGAGTTTTACGCACAATCGATCTCGTGCTTGGATTGTTCGAGCATTTCTTGCTGAAAATCCAGCTGTGGCGTGGAGCGCCTGCACAGTTTTACCCCAAATCGAGCTCCTTACAACTTGCTTAAAATCAAGCTCTGGCGTGGGGCATCCTCACGTTCTTGCTCAAAATCAAGCTCTGGCGTGGAGTATCCTAACATTTTCCCTCGGAACAGTACTAGCAAAAAGTCAACCTCACAACAGGGCCACTCCCCAATTTTTCTGCATCTACTGTACAGGGCTCGTGGGCTGAACGAAATAGCCGTATAAACGAAAGATGGGAGGCATTCGGCAAAATGACAATTGAGCTCAGCATGGGTGCATAGCCGCAACACGTAAGATGAGGAAAAGGAGGTCGGGGCCCCCGCGTCCAAACGTGCTGCCTCAGCGCAATAGACCGTAATAGACCATGCAAAGGCGTCTGTTCGTGCCTCAATGCAGCACAGCGGCTTGCGGCTTGCGAATTGATCCATGGGAGGCAAATAGCTGCCAGGGCGGCAGAGGTCCCCCGGGCGACTTGCAGGACACAGTGCTCCCTCTGAGTTGATTGCTTGGGCGTGTCACATGCTACGGGAGAGCGCTTTGCATGCTTTGCACATTTCAGCCGAAGGACCCCGCGTGCGACAAAGGGTTGCGAGCGCTGTTGCAGTGATGGCCATCACTGGGTCGAGTGCTTTGATGTGGAAACCTGCAGCCTGGCTGCCTGGCTGTTGGTGCAACTGTTGGTGCAACAGAGAGAGAGAGAGAGGTCCTAGGTCTGTGTTGGTGACCGGATGTGTGGCGAGCAAGATTCACTGCTCGGTAGAGAAGGATGGAGACCCATATGTGGCCCCGAATCGCAGTTAGGTGATCTTGCTTATCCTATACTACGGAGTGGCGGTCGTTTCAGGAAGCTATGGGTGGTACAGCGAGCCTCCTGGGTGAGGCTAACAGGTTGACTGCGTGCCTCGGACTTGCGCGGGCTTGAGGTGTTGCCTCAGGGCCTCAGCGGGTTATGCAGGATCCCCTTCAGCCCTGAAAGAAAAAGAAAAAGAGAGAGAACGAAAGAAAGAAAGAAAGAGAGATTTACCGACAAAACGCCAGACCCTGATATGCACTCCAACCTCGCCTGAGATTCCCGGGAAGCTTGAAAGGGTGCATTAGGTTGTTGGGAAAAGAAGGGGGGGTTCGGATCTCCAGTGCAGAACCCATCATGAGAATGGGGGTGGGGAAGTCTCACAGCCTCAGTGGAGCCGGGAGGAAGTTCATTGTGGGAAGGAGCATGGTTCATCCTTAGGGAGCACATCATGTTGATTGGTCTGAGAACGCTCAATCCCCAATGTACACTACTCCACCTCCTGGGGAAGACGAACCGGACTCGCGTGCGCGGGCTAGGGGCCTTGCCCCAGCGAGGCCTTTCGGCTTCGCATAGACTACGGAAGCCTCAACGCCCGCATGAAAGAAAGAACTTTTCTCTTATGAGAGTGGCATGAACGTTTTCTCAGCACGTGATGCCAAGGTGCCCTGAAGGCGTCTGCTGGTGGGAAGTATGCCTTCGTGCTTGCCCAGGCGAACCAAAATGCTTCAAGCTTTGAGCAATTGCCTAGCTACCACCCTTCCAGATCATCCTTGTTCGGGAGTTGGCAGCACTATGTTGCAGTCCAAGAGCGATTGAGGGTAGCAGAAGATGAAGCTGCGCATTCCCGATCTGTTTGAATCTATGTGGCCCTCGAGCCATCGATAGAGTATCAATGCGAGTAGTATCCGCCACGCTCAATCTTACAATTTTGCTTTGGGGTCTTCCCGGAGACAAGGTGCTTGCAGCTGGGGTCCAAGACCACGTAGTGGAATTGACAGAAAAAGGTCAAATTATGAATAGCCATCATAGTGACAGTGCGAACAAGGATGAATCAGGTAATTAGTGAGCGAAAAAATGAATAAGCACGCGACAGATACTAATTGTGATGCTTGCGGCTGCTTGGAGTTCAAGGTGGGGGGGGGGCTGCTACCTGGAGGATGCTGATTGAGCATCCCGCCCCCATAGATGTAAGCCATCTTCTTCATGGCCTCCTGTCGAGGAAGTTTCTGGCATGCCGAGAGTGACAGCTAAGTTTGAGCCAAACGCATAGCCGAACTGCAGGTGCAATCGCCAGGCCAGAATTGGCTGCCATATCTTGAAAAGATGCGAGAAGAGGCGGACAGGACTGCGGGTCTCTACAAACAGGGACAGGCCAGCAGAATATGCTACCCCGAAGGACTATAACTTTTTCTCATTCAGGGGAAAAAGGGGGCTGGCTCAGCAGTTGGGGGGAACAAAGTGGAAGGTAATCGCATGCCTGTAGGTAGTCCTTTCCCCTCGCTTCTGTCATTGTTTGTTCGAGTCAACGGGGCTGGATGTCTGCTGACAGCTTCCCGGGCTTCATAAGGCAAAGCTCGAGGTGCCAAACGGTGCTTTGTGCGAGGGAGAGCTCCCAGGGTCCCAGAGTGATGAAGCTCCGGCCGTGAAGACGACTAAAGCGAAAGCATGTCATGCAAAAACACGTGCGAATCCTGCGCAGAGACTTGCCAAGACATTCCTACCTTTACATGGCGCGACGTGCGACATATAGGTAGCAGGGACAGCGATGACAGTAGCATGAACAATCGACTTGGACAGACACCTACCTTGTATAAAGATAAAAAGTTAGGCGCCCCTTGAGCCCATACTGCTTCCTTGAACTCCTGAGAGGATACAGCAGGAGACAGCCGCGGCAGTTGACATTGTTGTCTCTGGGCTGCAGACTTTGGGAAAAATGGCCAAGCCTTCATCTACTGAACTGGAAGCCTGGACTGGAACGCTTTGAAGGTCATGATCCCAACCGTTTATGTTGGCAAGTTGCGCGAAATGCACTGGAGACCTGGCGAACAAGTTGCCACGACGAATTGGATTCGGTGCCTCATACGCTCTCCGATAAGATGTGCTCTTCTGACTGTGATTTTGATGTTTTTTGGGATCTTGGTTATCCGATGCAAGCTGTAAGCATGAATTTGAAAGCCAAGGAAGCGTTTGCAACAGTTCAGCGTCCAGGTTTCTGGGACATGACTCATTTGTCCCTGAGAGTATCCAGGACGATTAGTTTGACAAAGTTCTCAGGGCTTGGTGGCAGTCTGTGGTGTGTTGTTGTTGATCATATCTTTACGCACCTAGCCCCACAACAGCTGCTGGCCAGCGTAAGCGTCTGACAAGATTCCTGAGAACGCGAGAGAGGACGGCAGAGAGAGAGAGAGAGAGAGAGAGAAAAGCCTAACCCGCGCGCAGTCCTCGGACTGTGTTTAGAGATAGAAGAAGAATAGTAATGAGTAAGGAGTAGGCCTGAAGGGGAAGCAGCACGTATGCAACGGGGGCAAGGAGCTTTCGCACCCAAGTCGAGTAAGGAGGAAACTCAGAGTCTTTGTGGTGCCGCCAAGCAACACTGAATGGCCCTCATGAGCTCTGTGAATGGTTATGAGGTGTTATGTGGTAGATTGATGTAGACGTTTGGGGGCGTTTGGGTAGCACTCCGGTCCTCCGTGGTTTTCAGCGCCCGGACTCGGGCTCTGCATAGTGCATAGTATACTAGAAGAAGCGAGAGAGAGAGAGAGAGAGAGAGAGAGGAGAGAGAGAGAGAGAGATAGCCATTTTGGCTCAAGTCTCTGACCCTGCCTCCTCTCCTGAGGGGGTTGTCCGGCACCGGCCCCTTTCCTTCCTGGGGGACTTCCCTGGGCGGGCGAGGGGTGGACGTGTGTCAGGACGGGGAGAGGCTTGAGCAGCATACCGCTGCCATTTACAAGACAAGCCGAGGGACAGCGTGCCCCCCACCGCGGAGAAGAAAGAAATATCTAAAGGGGACATCCGCTCGTGAATGTGCTTAGGGATTGACGGTTGCTGTAAGCCCCTCCGCGTGGAAGCTGGAAACTCGGTCAAACTTTTGAGATAGGGATAAGGAACCTTGGACTTTGGAATAGGAACTTGCGTTACCTTGAGGTTGAGTCGTCCTCCAATTGCAGCCGGGGAGTTGGACCTGTTTACGGGATTTGGGGAGTAAGTTGTGTTTAAGGAAAGGGAAGAGATCTCAGCCATGGAACCTCACACTCGCCGTACACCACGATCTGTGGGAACCGGACAGGAAGCAAAGCCAGAGGATGCAGAGGAACAGCCACCGGAAAGACCGTCATCGTCCAGTTCGAGACCCAACAACAGAGGGGAAGGACTTTGCCTGGTGTGCGCACTGGCAACAAAAGGAAGCCACACCTACCAGAAAGAATGTGCGCGCTACGTGGCCGGGGCCACAGTGGAGCAAATGAAGAGAGCTGCACGTGGAGGAAGAAAGGGACATCACCGTCTACTGCTAGAATTGGCACTGCAGAGACAAGATGCGGAACAAGAACGAGAAGCAGCGGAGGAAGAAGCAAGACTCCCTCAACGCGCAAACGAGACGTCATCAAGCAGCTCGAGCAGTACAACAAGCCCCCCACCGAGGAGAACAATGACGAAGCGGAAAAGAGTCCAGCAGGAGCAGGTACTGGAACAGCTGAAGCCGCAGAGAGAAGAGAAGAAAGCTGCCTCGATCACGACAGCAACTGGAAAGGGAAAGGCAAGTGAGACAGAGCCAGCGACAACGGAAAAAGAGGAGTCTCCAGACATGGTGGACGAAATTCTGGGAAGGAGAACAGGTAGCAAACAAGCAAAGAAGGAGACTGCAAAGATGCACACCGAGGAGGAGAACCGTAACACGAAGCAGGCCCAGAGTGGGAATACAAAGGAGAAGCATACGCAAGAAACTGCAAAAAAGGAAGAAAGGAAGAGGGTGCCGCCTCCAGCCAGTGCCAGAGAGAGAGTGGATGAAAGTAAAATTGATGAGGTGGCGGTGGCCAGACTGAAGGCAGCCAGGCTCAAACAGATCATTCAGACTGGAAAGGACAATACACAGATGAGGACAGAGCCAGAGGTCGAGACTGGAAAGGAGAACACCCAGATGAGGACAGGGGACGACTCTACGAGTGCGACAAGAAGGGAAGGAGAAACAATAACAATCCTGCGAAGTGAAGGAGAAGACACCCCACATACCAGGTGACGGCCAGCGTCACCGATGAGGCCAGGAGAAGAGACGCCTATCGAGGAAGGCTCCAGCACAGAAGAGATCGCCTTGGAAGAGACGAGGGACAGCGAAAGAGGAAAGGCTCGAGGTTCAGACTGGAACTGGCACAGCACAACAAAGCCAGCCGAGCCAGAGAATGGACCGAGCCATAAGGACCTGGAGCAAGTGGTCTACTTGGTGCGGTGGATGCAGCAAGATGATGAGCATCGTAAACGGTAAACGGTGGGAAGCCAATTGGAGCGAACACCACAGAGAAAGGGACGAAGAGGAGCTGGCGAGAAGATTACAACAACTGGACAAAAAGCTTGGAGAAGGAAATGCGTATAACAAGATCCAGGCGGAACTGGAAGCACAGCGAGAAAGGGAGGCTGAGCAATGGTAAAGGGACATTCAGGACGAATATTACACAGTCAAAGAGTATGAGCAACACTGGTAAGGGAAACCTTTTTGCGGACGAATGCCAAATATTTTCAACTTGATAGGGATACCGTGCGACAAGCTTTTCAACTCGACAGGGACACAGTACAACACCATGACAGAGAAGTGTATGGGAGAAGAGAAGGAAGTCAGAATTCAGCATGCCCCTGCATTGCCGTGAGCAGAAGCCTCTTAGCAGTGCAGTTACCGTGAGCTACCGTGACCAATGCCAATTCGAGGTAACCGCGATATTGTGGTAGGGGAGTGGATGTAGTTGTGGGGGTTGACTTATTTGGTGCTGTGAAGCAGGATCGTGGGAACAGGTAATTAGCTGTCGAAGACGACAAGGTGCAAACCGTGTAGATACAGGGAGAAGATGTAGCATGTAAATAGTGAAGGAAAGAGGTTAGGGAAGGATGTACAAATCCTGTTCAAGAGGCAGACCCGAAAGGGAAGCAGCGTTTTTTCGTGCCAACTGAGATGCAAGGGGCATATGGAGACTAGGGAACGCGGTACGGAATTGTAAATCTCCATGTGTCACCCTTTTCCTCAGTCATTTCTACCAGACCATTTTCCCGGGAGACTTAGGCGCGTTGGATGGGAAATTAGGGGTGAACTTACTGGGGTTTCTTCGGTCAACGATCCAACGAACGCTGTACATCTCCTAGTCAGGGATACCGGACATTGGGCTGGAGGTTCGCCTCCGCGATGCCTTCGGGCATCGTATAGCCTGTAGAAGAAGAAGAAGAGAGAGAAATAGAGCCGAGACCCCAATACTGTAAATTTGTTTTCTTATCCCAAAGCTGTGGGCAGCCATGCCGAACATGAGGGGGTCTGACGCAAATGGGCAGCTGAGTTTTGCACCGCTTTTACGCCACAATGAGCGAAAGAAAGAGACTCGTTTGAAGTGGTTTTCCAAGTCCCGGAAGGTAGTCCAAGTTCCTTGGGAACTTCCACCAGAGCTGCGCTGGTGGCCTGATAACTGGTGGCCAGGCGTTTGGAGTCTTGGATGGTACTCCGCAGGGCAGTTGTGCATTTGCAGCGCTTGTGTAGGCTGGCTTCCCCTTCTCATGCAGCATGGCATGCAACAATTCTACTTGCAAGAAGCCCAGTCGCGCAAACGCAGGCAAGGCAGATGGCTGGTGTGGGCCCCAAGACCTGGTCCGCTTGCACACGATTGGCACCTTGTCAATCTAATCAATCGATGCCTCGTATGTTCAGATCAATCCAACCAGTCTCAAGCCTCTGCTAGTGCCAGTGAGCTAGTGCTGACCAACTTTGAAACAGATGGCGCTCCTTCTGCACATGTTAAACACACCATATGGCTTCCCTTTGGTATAGTCTGAGGCCTAGAGAATTTTGATGCCGTGGCTTTCTACGACCAGGATGTGGAGTTCCATGGTACCGTGCCAAGTAGTCACCGGTGTCTAGTGGCAATTTTGAAGGATCTTTAGGAAGGTGCCTTCCTTGTCCGGATCCGGGCACCCGTAGGATCTCAGTGGCGCCCAACAGCATTGAATCGCAGCAGCATCTCTAGTGAGAAACCTTATGCAGTGATTGTGAACTCTTGGCTTGGAGACGCTGACACTTGGACGGCCATGCAGACAAACTTCGAAATCTGACACTTGCAGTATTCAGACAGTATACTTCCGTTTGCATGCACCCCAGCGAGTTGGAGTCCAGCCTAGGCTCAACAACAGCCAGAATTGTTGCTCAGGTAGTGTCGCAGCAGTGTTCCAGTGCGCCTCCTTGGGCCGCTTGCCTCGCGCAGATGCGTGACCGGTACCGTTATGAGAAGTGCTAGGAAGGATAGCAATTGAGTTTGCTAGTTGACGGCAGTGTGTAGCGCCTTAGTCGTCTCTAACGCCAGCCTGGCCGCCCGGTTGCTGCTTGGCCAATGTTCGGACTCGTTGCGAAAGGCATACGCGCTGCCATTTGCATTGTGCAGAGGGGTTCGGCGTTGACGGCTCACGGCTGATGCTTGATATATGTCAGTATTTGTGTATAAGCATGTGTGTACTCTCAATTCTTCACGCGTGTGACCAGCTTGCGACAGAGGCCACTGAGGGGGTTGGGGAGGCAAGAGTTCTGAAGGTTCCATGCTTACTTAATCAATGTCATGGGAAGTTGGATAAGAAATTCCCAAGGCAATGAAACTGGTATGCCGTGGACCAGATGGGTGTGGGTCAAGATGTCGCCCGAAGCCAAAACATGAAGATGCCATTGTTCAGCACCAACCATAACAATTGTTGAGGCCATCCGGGCGGGCGAGCCCAAACTTAGATGCGAGAGCCACTCCTTGCGTCGGAAAACGAAAGGGCCTTGCGTCCAGCATAAGGGCTGGTTCGCATGCGATACGATTCGAGCCCAAAGTCAGGCAAACATGATTAAGCGTTTGAGTGCCGACTTCAGGTGCCAGTGGCATTTCAGGCAGGGGCAAGAATGGCCCAGTAACGACTCTGGGACTTGGGCGACTTTGGTCATTTTTTCTGGCCGCGACGGGGGCTTTGCCATCGGAAGGGCGGCCATATGCGGCCATTTGCCATTCAGGTGTCCAATTAAGGCATCAGCCACGGTCAGCCATCCAAGATGCGCCGAATTTAAGCTTCAAATCAGAAGCAGGCGTGCCTAGCATCACCTACAACAGCAGAATTCGGGTTGCGTCAATCCACTAGAACAGCAGCTCAAAAAAAAAAGCATCTTATGATAAGAAGAGGAGGCACGTTCGACTGTGAGGCTACTTCCTCAGCACTTCTGGGGGTGTCGGCGAGCCACTGAACATCGGTTCCTCGGCTTGGTGCCTGCATGTGCCTTCTGAAGCTGGCCTCGCAGTTGCTGGCAGCTGCAGCTTTAGGTTCTGAGTCTGAGACAGGCCTAAACCCTACACAAGTTGCAGAGCCCATTGACAAACCCTGAAGACCTTTGTTTCACACTTCCTTTACTGCAGTCGCTGCACGCTGCAAGGCTTCTTTGCACTTCGACCAGACAAGAGGTTGCTTCGGGCCGCCGAGTTTCTTGGCCAGACAGAATTGCGGTTTGTCGGGACTTGTTTGGCCTTGATGCGCTGGAGGATCTTTGCTTGGAACCTCACCTTCGACCGCACGAACGGCTGGGGAGGGGCGGGCTTCAAACCTGCAGGTGGCTACTTTGTGGGAGCAGAGTGCAGCTTGCTTTAAAATGGAAGAACCAGGGGCTGTAAACATCGCCTTGATCTCCTGCTTACCTCAAGATTCGGGGAAGACTGCTCACAATTCATTCTGGCAAAATGACAAATATCACATGCTGCAAAATGACAAATATCACATGCTTGAAGCCGCTGAGGTGGTCAAGGCTACTTCCACACTCTCTATTACCAGCGCAGTGCAAAGGCAACAGCCTGCATGAGGATTTCACCTGACCTGCAGCCCTAGACACAAGACACGCCGCATGCTTTGATCCTGCCGAGAAGGAGCTTGTCATCGCAACCTGGGTATGCTGTAGGGCTGCGTAGGTGCAAGCATGCCATCCCAAAAAGGCAGCCGGTTTCCAGCCACAGTTCTTGGGGCCATGACGGATTTTGCTGCAGGCCAAGCTCGCTCTGGATGCTGCAGAGGTACCCGGCTCTGAGTCTTGACATGCCTCGAGCGCGGATTTGCTGTGCACAAGCACCCTTCGTCTGCTCGTTCCGTCAGTTCTTAAGGACACTCCGCGCGGGCTGAAGATGCGACAAATTGATCAATGCATCTTTGCTGCTAATGATGCTTGGTACATGGTGTTTGGTACGGTGAGAATTTCGAGAGACCATACCCCTTGAGGGTCTGCGGTTGCTCTGCAGCGCCCCAAACCCTAAACCTTGAGGCAGGAGAAGTGAAGCCGAATTGCCGACCCCTTCAGGGCTCCTTTCTGAGCGCTGGAGGGCTCCAGCCTGCAATCCAGTCCACCATAGTCCTCCCGCCCTCCACCCTGTCAACATCTTAAAACCATTCCAACCTTCCAGCCCCCGCAGCTCTTGAACCTGCATCTAGCCCTCCAGCCTTGATGTTCGGCTTCCGGATGTTTAGAATTTTCGACGGCAAAGCGTCAATTTGGGAGGTAGTGTGCTGCATGTGTTTCGCTGCGCGTTCTGCACTTGTTCAAAATGAGCAGCAGGTTGAACAGACGTACCGGAAAGCCTTGCTTGCAAATGTGCCCGTCCCTCATCAAAGAGTTTTCGGCATCTTCAGCTGCCCATACGCAAACGCTTTGCTACAGAGCCCAAAAGCTGCCGTGCGCTACGACGAACTGACCATCCAAGGCATCTGGAACTATCAGACTGGAGGACATTGCCCCTACAAGTTTGATTGCGGCTGGTCTGCACGGGTTCCAGGCATCTGAATCAGGGTCATTATGGGTCCCATCTCTTCACAAAATCTTAACGCTTGGCGATAGCATCATAGCGGTCCGCACATTTTCGAGCCCACTAATTTTCGGGCCCATATTCAAAGCATTTGCGGTACTGTCGACAAGTTGGTTCAGATTGTCCACACATCTGTTCCCTGTGCCATGCCAGCCCCCACATCTGCAAAACGGGCAACGTCTGTGTCCCCCCCTCTTCTTCGGGGCGTGTGGCGCAAACTCTGAAGCCAAGTGAACCCACTATCTGCAGCTTTGGTATAGTCGAGAGTCGAAAGAGAACCCAGCCAGAACAAGTTGCGCAGCTCTGGCTTGGAGAAGACTGGAGGCGGCCTGGTGAGGGCTCACCACAAGCCCACGCAGAAGGAGCATGGACGTGATTGCCCCAAGCTGAAGTACAGGCCTGCTGGGCTTCAGGGATCTGCAGCCTGCTCTTCGTTCGAAGGTTCAGTCAGACGTGGATCTGGATCCGGCTAGTGGATCATGCAAGCCTTCAGGACAACCATGACAACCACGGCAGCACTGGCAACCCCCAGGGAGCCCAAGCCTTGCAGTGTTGTGCAAGTTCAGATTGGCAAGGGGCTCAGCTGCATCACCAGCTGTGTGTTCGCATTTTGGGAAGGGGACCTCATCCACAGGACCCCGAACTTCCCCCAACAAACAAGGCGCGTCAAGGAGAGTACTGGGTGCGAAGACAATTCTTGACTTTTTGCATCTGTTTGTTTCTTGTTGAGAATCGTGAATGGAATTGCGGGAGACTTGTTCCAGCTTGAAAGGCTCCACAGTTGCAAATTGCGAACGCTCCCGCATTTGTCTCTCCTTATGTGCATCTCATCTCCATTCTCTCTCCCTCTCTGACTCCCCTTCTCGAAGCCCAGCCATATCTCATCAGCCAATTATGACCCCCCACCCCCCAGGTGGGGTTTTTAATAACATGTGGTGTTTTTGTTTGCTTTGCTCGAGGAGATTGGCGGTAAAGCCTAACTGCTCTCTTGATGCCAGAGCTGCGATCTGATGTTAATATGACTTGTTTTTTCTTTTTAGGACTGCTGCCTTGTAGTGAATAGGGCAGTCGGCAATGCGAAGGGTAGTGAGAGAATGTACACAGATTCGCACTCATCGTCCCTAACCTGCAATGTATTGCTTTTCGGCTACAGTAGCAGGAAACACGCAGTGGAGAAGGCATTAGGATCGCAAAGTAGTGGTTGTCTTGGACGGCACAAATGCATACGGGTGCCGTCCACAGGCAGGACATGGTTAGTCTCCTAGATGCTTGTAGTTGCTGTAATGAGACTTGTCGCTTGAAGCCTCAAAACTTGCAGCTCCGTCGCCTACCTGGCTTTTGCCAGGGACAATTCTGGGTTGTTTAAAATCCTATTTTCTAAAATGTTTCAAAGCCCGTGCGTTTTCCACGCAGGCCAGATTTCTCAGTCAAAATGCAAAGTGTACACCCTGGGACAGTTTATGCTGTGCTCCAAAGAACGGAAAAACCGGTAGGATGAAAGTCCTTGTCCGTGTCCCTGCAAGATTTCGGTTCGGCGTCCTGATGTCCAAGACTTGCCCCCGGCAGGAGCATCGTAGCCTTGTTATCTCCAGCCATCTTTAAACCTGTGCAACTAAGCGGTGTAGCCCAAACTGCTTAAAAGACCTTCATGCGATTTGTAAATTGCTTCAGAAGGTAAACCAACATAAACCAACCTTCGTTTGGTTCATGCAAGGACCGCGTACGCGCCGGCGTTTTCCGGCCAAGATTCATAACGGGAGTGTCAAATTATTGGAGAATGGCCGATGCCATTAGGAAGAAGTGCTGCTCACAAGATACGTGTTTCAGCTCTGGAATTGGCAAAGACACTAATTTCCAAAGAGGCTCTAAAGAGCTTTCAGCGGGGGGTGGGGTTCTTAATTCGCTGGCAAATATCCGACTAAATGTCGCGACTATAGTCAGGTGCCAGCTGCAAGTGTGGGGGCATTTTTTCGAAGTCTGTCAACGTGATGGGTCGCATTCAGGACTGCCGGATGCCTCGATATGTGCCATCAATAGACAGTGTCTTGCTAGGACGGCCACGCATCGTGCAGATCTAGCTGGCGCTGTTAGTAAAGCCAAGCTGATCCAGCTTCTTTCTGCACTCTACACGTTAAAGTGGAGAAGCCGACGCATCACTTGTATGCAGGACTGTGAGCGGTCATCCTGCAACAACAGCGGCGATCAGTTCAGCACCTTTGCCCAATTTGTCTGCACGCCATGTGCAGCCATGTTTAGCATAACCAGGTCATTGAAAGTAAGTCCAGGAGCTTTGCAGTTTGCAGCTTCTCTCATGACAGTGATGCCAGCGTCACAATTTGCAGGGCCGGAACACCTTTTCCGCACGCACAGGGCAACAGCGCCATACCAATCCACGGCACAAAGGCTGGCGCATACGCTCCTGCTGGGTTGTGTGCACACTTGCGTGCGCAGTCAACACCCGTCAAGAGGATTGGCGCGAAATGCGCTTGCAGCTTAGCAGGAGGCATCTCCTTCTTAAAGCAGGGCCCATTTCTTTTCGCCTACTATCCTCAGACCACGAACCACAAAGTCAACGCCAGCGCTATCAGCTATGATACGCACGAAAGATGGCGTGCAATTGCTACCCGCGCGCCGCACAGTGGCCACCTCGCAGGGTGGTAGCACACCAGAACCGTACACTTTGTTTGTGTCAGGCATCTCCTTCAGCGAGTCCCAGGTGACCGCCACAAGAGAGGCTACGCTTTGGTTTGTCATTTGTGCATATGGAGCTTGCGCTCTGAGCATGTGCAGGATGCTGACGGCTGCTGGTGCGATGGTTCCGAAGCTTTGCTGTAAATGGGCTGGGGACATCTACTAAAGCATGCCCTTAGAAACAGAGCATGCGCGTAGCTTGAGTTTCTGAGTCCTGGAACTATGACTCAATCGCTGAGGTTTCTGCATTCTGCTGCGTTGCATCTTAAATTTCTCCCAGCGACGCATTCTATGCTTTGCTGCCGATTGCTGGCACTGGTGGTGGTGGGTCGGCTATAGGACCTCCGTTATCTGCTGAGCACGAGGTGCCGAGAACTTTCTCAAAGGATGCCAACGGGTGACGCGTGGGAATGCAAAACACCCTTTGCTGTGGACGTCTCCAAGCATGGCTGCCCCCAGTCGGCCGCCTATGCGCTGTCACATTCCTCCAGCTGCAACCTGAACAAGCCCGCGTGAAGTAACCTCTGCATGCCAGACATGGTCCAGGCAGTCGCCTGCGAAAGCGAGCATGTTCATCACTACGCGAAGAAAGCACGTAAAGGATCCAGTGGCATCAGCTGAGTTTCTGTTGCTTGGTCGAGTTCTTTTGGCGCTGCTGAGTTCTGTCATGCTCTGCCTGAAAACAGGCAGAACGCACGAGAAAACAGAACTGCTGATAGACCATGCTAAACTTCTTGCCACCAGCTGCAGTCCGTGCGCAAAACGTGCGGCATGGAAAGTATTGAAGATCATTGAAGGGTATTGCAGTTTATTGTGGATGGGATAGGGTAAAGAAGGCACAGTGGGGGATATGATGCGCTCCATCATAGTGTGCCAATCTAGGGACCTTCCAGGCTGGACTTGAACGACGGCCCACGAAGTGCAATATGGTTTTGCAATGTCTAGCAGCATCCTCTTTCGCATTCTCTGAGAGTTTGCGTGTATGCTGTGCCCAGTTGAGGCATTGAGGCTTGCTGACATGCATCCGCAAAATTTTCCAGTGCCCTGCGCTATCTCCATCGTTGAATGAAAGTGCAGCCATGCAAGTCGCGGACGCGGTGTTCCTGGCGCCGTCGCTGCACGGCGCGGTCTCCATCCTGACTCCGGAACGGTCGGCAACGCAAGCCAGAAGCAGCCGACCGAGCGCAAGCGTTTCTCGGGAGATTGGACAAGATTTTCTTTGTGAGCATCGGCGACACAATACCTTGCCAAACAGCTGAGCATCTTCACTCGTAGTCTGGAAGTTGAGAGCTTCCAGGTACCATTTGTCAAATTCAACTCCTAAAGGCCGCTCCCGGAGCTTTGGCAACTGGAGCCCTGCTGGGCTTCGCTGCTGCGCTGGGGGGTGGACTGCGGCTGCAGCGGACAAAGGCCCACCGAGCAGCAAAGCATCCATCCGCCTTTCCTTCTCCGTGAGCAGGCTTTTCAGCCTTGCCTGATTGGCCGAGTACTGGTCGCACATTCTGATGATAATGACAGTGCTTCCACTCTCTATTGGTTGGGGGAAAACGGAACGTTTGAATCAGTTCTGCGTATGTACTGGTTTTCATCACTTGTAAGTCTCTGTGTGTGTGTGTGCGTGCGTGAGTGAGCCTGAGCTACGACATGTAAGCCCTGAGATCTTAGGGTGCCCTTGATCATCCTTTGAGTGTGTATGCCTAGTGAGGGCCGCCGAATTCCGCAGCAGGTGAGTTCAGAGATCATCACAGTCTGGGCTTCAAAAACATCGCAACAACGTTCCGATTCCCCACGACAGGCACGCCGCCGCCAGGGTCCACCGGCTACAACTCTAAAACCTGAGGCCAGGAGATGCTTGCCTGGACCCATCAAATGAAAAGAGGGAGTCTCATCCTGGTCAGCTGTTCATTGAGCACTGCTTGCGGCGTCTGTGTGTGGAATCATGGAATCCTGGTCACCCACGGGAGCTAAGCACCTCTAAGCACAACTCACTCCTAAGCCCTTGCATTAGAAGAATAGTTGGTGAATTGCATCATCTCCTGCTTTGATCTTAGGATGGTGTCTAGGATTCCGCCAGGATGTGAGACTTCCATGCTAGGTTGGGAAAGCAACCGGATTGCAACTATGCCCCAAGCCCTGCCTTGAACAGCTGATGAACCGTCACGAACAGCACAGGATCGAGACACAAAACAAAGCAAGATGCGCACTTGCACCATGTGTGTGAACAAGAAGGAAGAAAGCCTTGCGTAGATGATCCAAGTCAGGAGGACGTGACCACCGACACTTGGGGAGAGAAGTTCGTGTGGCAAAAGGCCAGACCTTTCGTATGAGATTCTTGCTTACGCAGTTGACATCAAAGTGGCAGCTGCCCAACATACAGGTCTAAGCAGCCATTCCCCCCAATCACAAATTTGAGAACAAGCTCCTCCCATCCGAAGGCATGGTATCCAATGGCCGTGGTTGAAGACCTTGACGCTTGGAGTGCAGACATATTGCCGTGCCAGCAAAGGCAATTTGTCAGCTTGAGCGAATGGCATGGAATGGCCAGGCGCCATACCTTTGTGTCCAAGCACCAATGTCAGCATGCATCGTGTCTCAGATGCTTCAGGATGCCACAAGGCCAACAAAGCTCCAACTTCTAGGCCTGCTCCTGAAAGTGTCTGCGGGTTTGCAAGGTTCATGAGTGTTAACTCCACTCATTGAGGGCTGGAATGCTGACCTTCAGTTTGGCCGCGGATTGCACTACTAGGATGCGCAGAAGTTGACTGTTATCTTCTTGTTGCCGATGAGTCACTTGTGTGAGGTGAGGACCTTGTTGCTTGGCGCGATGGTGACGGGGAGTGGCGAGTCTTCGAGGCCCCGCACCCAGTGCACGCTGTAGAGTGGTTGGTTGTTGCAGTGTAAACTCTAAATGTGTGCCGAAAATCAGTAAAAGCTGGACAGGATCGCTGCCCGCACCGAGCAGTGCCGCTCAGCACTTCTGCAGCATGATTGCTTGCGGATTCTGACACATCGGGCCCCAACTGGCGTATTGGCGCGCCGCAGTGTCACAACACTTCGTAAGCCATCAGTTGCATATATGCTAGAAGAGCCATCTTTCTTGAGAGTGCCTGCATTTGTTTGGTTGCGGTCGGGCTTTGCAGTGACCGCGTCAGCACGTTTTGTGCATACTTGCTTTGAATAAAACTGGAAGCACTGAACCTGGCAGTTGAAACCAATTGCAGCCGAGGTGAGGGCCGCGTTGAGAAAGATGGTACGCTGATGTGCCGCCTGGAAAGCGTCAAATGAAGGTAAAGCAGTCATGCTTCGAGTCAGCAGTGTGAACGCTGATTCATAAGTAGTTTTCACCACATGTCAGGTCAATTTGTGCAATTTGCGCATGTCAGTCCCTGCTACGTCCGCAGACGGTGGGTCGTGAGTTTGACCACGCAGCTTTTCTACAGGCTGAAGCCTGTGAAATCTGCAATCCGCTGAGCTCACAAGGCTCCTACCACGGCTGGCGCTTCAGCGGTGAGGGCAAGATCACCGCCCTCCCACAAGCAACAGAGGTTGGCGCCCATCACATCCAAGAGCGCATGTTGGAACGCAAACGAAGAGTGCACCATCTTGGCATCCAATGATGGGCACAAGCGTTGTACCCTACAGCCCGTGAGGTAAGGTTGTAGGCCCTTGTAGGCCCCAAGAAGTTTTGAGTTTCAAGGTGTTTGCTTGAGCCTCACCGTTCGCAAGCCTCAGCACGGGTCGCACAAATTTGGAAGTTCTTGGGCCACGGCAGACTACATGTGGATCCATTTGGACGTCCATAGGCGCCTATCAATCTTGGTCCTTGGTCAGCGTAAACAGGCATACTCGGTGCAGGGGGCTTTGTTTGCGCTACTCACTCAACATCTTTGTGTCCGGTGACACAATGGCCAGTTTCTGCTCCAAGCCTGCTGGTAGCCATGTTCCATGTCACAGCAATACGAAAAAATGTTTGTCAATTGCGTGGCGAGACATTTCTCAGCTGCATGTGGTTCTACTGATGAAGGGAGCTTCAGAGCAGCATGTGGGTCTAATTTTCGGATTCGCTCATTTTCAAGAAGATTTGCTGCACTGCTGCTCCTCATGTCCTTGCTTGGGCATGAGATGCCACATGGACGGGGGGAGGCTCCCCTGCGTCCCCATGCGCGAGAGGCACCCGATGGGTATAGCGCTTGATGCTCGGGACAGTGACTTTAAGATACTTTGGACAAATCGGCTCCATTCTCCATTTCTGCGTCTGGTGAAGTTTTCCCTGGACCCGAGCAAGCTAGCTGGAAAAGCTGGCACACTTGGTGCTGCAGGCACGGCGATATCTGGCTATTCTGCGGCTGTGCGACTTTGCATTCTACGGCAGCGCCGTCTTCCTCACTTTCTCAGGAGATAGGGCTGGGAAGCAAAATTCAAATGTTAGCTCAGCATCTTGTGACTGAGGTTTTTGTAAGCCTCAAAACCTGCGCAGCTCGCAGCTCCACGCGGTCTGCCGAAGCAGCAGAACAGAAACCATTCTTTCACACTGCAGGTCTGATTTTAAGATCTCACTTGTTTGCGTCTTGCTGCAGACTGAAATTTTAATGTTTTTTCGACTCCGGAACAAGCCTCTCTTTAAAATACTTGGAACTTACGAGTCGGACGTTTACGGCGAACCGTCCTGTCTCTTCTGCAAGCAGCTTCCAGTGGAGAAAGTTGCATTTCGAACCTTAGCATGATCGTTGCGATCAGATCTAAGTTTGCGCCAAGAAAGTTCGAAGAGTCGTGCGCTGCTAGGTAGAACTATTGACGATTCGGTTCAGATCATCCAGGCAACCCCCTCCCCACCCTCCTTGCTCCACCCTCCATCCACCCTCCATCCACCCTCCACACATTACCTCCGCTCCAGCCGCCCCCTTCATTCCAGAAGCCGGCTCTTCTCCTTCCGGCAAGAGGCCATGCACTCGGACAGTCGACTCGGGTCATTCGTGAGTTTTTTTTTATAGCTTGGAGACTCGATTGAGGCACAGCGGGGCGGAGGGTGGAGGGTGGGGAGGGGTGCAGAGGTAGAAGGCGGGTAGTTGTTTGATGTCGATACGGTTCAATACTTGTTATGACGATTTAGCATCTCGGTTCGACGAAATAAAAGTATTTTCAAACGGTCCTTGTACTCGCCTCCCGTGAGGAACACCTTTCTTGGGCTTGCTAAGCTCCTCAGTTGCAGTAGGCCTTGGAGTCCACCTGTAGACCTTGTACGTATTTGTGACAAGGTCGCCTAGTTGCGTGAGCCGATCTCAAGGGCCACAGCGGTCTCATGTGCATTCTGTTGAACTCACGTGGCATTTGTAGCGTCTCAGGCTTGGCCGCTGCCTTGATGGGATCATTGCTTCTACAGCAGGCGCCCTTGTGACATCTTGCAAGTCACGAGAGCACACGGGAAATGCCTCTCCAGCCAGGATCCCTTCCTCGAATGTGTGGGCCGGCCCATGGTGCATGCATTGGAAAAGTCCCTCGCCCCGCGGCTGCAAGAAGGAGAAACCGCTCCTGCAGGTTCAAGGTTCGACAGGTGAAGGTCAGGCACAGACCGGCTGGAGTCCTCGCTCAGTAGCTGAATTATTGATCACCTTGTAATACATTGTAGTTGCGCACCCGTGAAAGGACTGGGCCAAGTTGCCTTGGAGCGACGGTTGGACCTACCTCCTGCCGCTTCTGGGGACATCATGTTTTGCAAGCAGCTGGGATGGAGGAAAATGCCAGCGCTATTGCGCTTGCGGTGTGCAGACTAGTATGAATCGGGAAATACCATGCAGACTTGTGAGATGTTTTACGTGAATGGGAGGCCCTCACTCAGCTATCTTGCCAATTCTTGCAAGTATACAATCGACTGAATCTGCGCACAGCAGCATGAGCAGGTCATGCTGGCCCAGATATGTGCCAACAAGGGGGGTTCGAAACCACAACAACAATACAAAATCAACAACAAAGAAATACTTCCCCGACTAATTATACGGTTTTACATATGGGGATTGTCCGAAAACCCTTGTTTACGATTTATATAAACGAAAACCAAGTATAACATAATGTGTCAAAAACACTGCGCGCGCAAGCTCCGCGCAAGCACGGCGCAAGGTTGGC